GGACAGGGAGAAGATAGGATGGAATTGTGTGTGAAGATACTTTGTCACAGAAAAAAAATAGACCATAATGTAAAGCAATTTATAAACAGCTAAAAACTGAAAGCTGTTGTAATTGTTATTTATATCAGCAAATGGTGCCCTCCTCCCCACCCCAGAAAGCCAGGTGCACCATTTCTATGGCCAAGTATATGGGTCACATATGGTTAATTTCTTCAGTTTGCTACTACAAATAAAGCAAATTAGAAACCTTATGACCTCATCAGATGGGGCTGAATTTTGTGGCTGGTTCCTCTTTCCTTTTGCCATGGAGCCCATGACTCCCATCCCATGATGCACAGCTACTTCTGGCAGCAGTTCCATGGTAAAAGGGAAAGGGAACCAGTGTATGCTGCCACAGCGGTGTATAGTGGATACTTCCTCCCATGGGATAAGCCTGGGGTTAGTCATGTGATGTGAGGCATGGGATGATGGGTTCCCCACACCCTCCACTGGGAACCGCCAGATTCACCACATTCCTGCTGCACCTATGTCTCATGACTGGTAAAAGGACTGACAAACCACCAAATGACTAAAAGATGAGGCAATGGGGAACCTGTGGGACCTCTTAAAATTTGAGAGAAGCAGCATGTATTTGTTCTAGGCTATGGAGATGAAATGTTGGACCTTTTCTATAATGCGTTTAGCTTTCTTTTCTGCTCCACCACACAGGTACTTGCCTTATTGATGTATGTTAATTTAAATTAGCTTACCTGCTCTTCACAATTTGTCCATTTGTCAGTTTCTGCTAGCCCCTTTCCCTCAAGTTCTCTAAACAACAGAGAGCCATCCAGTGCGAATTTAGAAAGAAAAATGGCAAAACAAATGCTAAGAGAGTCCATTAGCAGGACAGTTTCTTCTCAGTGGATTGGGAGAAATTAACAGTATCCAATACTGTTGTTTTTGAATTTGTTTCTTGAGCAGCACTTTCCTCCCATGCCGAATAACAATCAATAAGTACTTTGAAATACGTTTTGTAACATGGCATAGACAATCTTGGTATCCACTCCTAAACCTTTTATTAGGCCTTGAATATTTCTATTGAGCAGTTTTTCTCAGCCTGTGGAGGAGCTACAAAATGTTTTGCAGGGGCTGCTGTCCTATTTGTCCCATCTATTGTCATTTTCAAAAACTTGCCACAAATAAGTGGCCAATGACTCATAAACCTCCATCAGTTAACAACACAGGCTTTGTCCATTGTGGTAAAAATGATGACATATCACATGAAGGGTATGCAGAATATATGCATACTATAGTAAGTACAATAAATGGTATTGGAGTCTGTAATAACTTCTAACCTTTGCTGGCTAGGCCGAAGCCTAAGAGTCAGTGGGCTGAGTCTCCATCTTGATAGGGAAGCTTCGAAGAGCTGACATCTTGGGAGAGGCAAGGAGAGGCAAGTAAGCAGGGAAGGAGTCAGCTGACTCCTGATTGGTTTAAGCACCAAAGGGGAGGAGTTGGGTGTGAGTGAAAAAGCCTGTCACTTCTGACAAGCAGAGAGAAGGGATTTAACATCAGAGAGAGAAGGGTTTTAACAGCAGAGAGAGAAGTAGGATTTTAGCAGAGCAGGATTTAGACAGGGAGAAGGAAGCTTTTGAGTGAGCCAAGCAGTTGGGGAATAAGGAAGGGACAAGGGCTTTAATATTACTGTACTTGTAGGGTCAGTGAAGAAGTCTTGTCCACTTGTATTAATTAAAAGTACTAGAAAGCTTATTGCCCTGAAGAGTAGATTAGAAAAAGTCTGATTACTCTGTGAGACAGTCAGGGGGGCTGATCTCAGGGACATACTGTTTCAAAGAGTTGAACAGTGTGGAGAAGGGAACTCACATCAAGCAAAAGCTACATCTTCAGTAGAAACTATCTGTCTAATAAGCCTAAGCCTCAGTAACTGAATTACACGGGTGTACCACTCATTTTATGAGTTGACATATTCTTAAAGTTTAATAAACCTGTTCCTAGTTTATCTTTAACTGGTGTCTGCCTCAGTCTGTCGCATTCAGTAAAAACCAAGTCAGCCTAAAAACCTCTCTACAGTCCAGTCAACAAGTAAAGGAGCTAATAAAGAAGAACCAGAAGCTTGGGCGCCTATTACCTAAAACACATTCACACCTTTGTTTCCTCAAACAACACAATTGAGATGGTGGCGGCGAAAGTTTACCAGAATCATGGGTCTCTAATATCTTTAGTTGTTCCCTCACCAAAAATCTCAGTCACACAGGTGTGTTAAGGGACATCTCGGTCCTTTAATCTCTCTTTACATTGGAGGCAGTGGTGGGATAGAGAGGTTTCCCCCCCTGCCAACGGCTGAACGGTCGTTAGTCCTTTATTACAGAGTCCTACATAGAATAGTAAATGTATTGAAATCATTGAGACAAATTAGCAATATTAATTGAAATCACAATAATTCCAACTTATCAGTTATGTATTTTTAGAGATTCCAGATTATTTTATTGAAAATGGTAATACTGTTATAATGAGTGCTTTAAATTTGTCCTCAATTCCATTGACAAGGGTGCAACTTTGATTAATTGTGTGGGACATGAACTCAATGTGAAGAAGGCATTTGGGTATACCCAGAGCCCAGATGCTTTATACCTATCATTAATAAGCAATAACTCCATTTATTGCAAAAACCTGTTATAACCACTTACAGACCTATTTTATGCTTCATCTATCAAGATACATTTTTAACATGGGAAAATACTTAAGTAAGGCAAGACTTGATAGCTAATACTAGGTATGGATTATAGTTTAGTTGGGATACTTTAAATGGTAGAATAAAGTTTCTACATTGTAATAGACAAATTACCTTCTTTACATGCCATATTGTGGAACACTGATGAAAATCAATAAGTTTCATGGAAAAAAACATTTTATTATCATTTCCATCTAATTAGATTGCTCTGTGAACTTTGACAGTTGAATTGTGCATCCACTGTCCCAGCAATTGAAACATTTGCAAGTACTGAACATGACGTTTATATGGCACAAATGACATTAATGTTCATTTAGAGTGAATATGCATAGAATTATAATGTGACTAATAATCCTTGTAAACTGGCCTACTTCCAGTAATAGTAGACATGTATTGTTTATATGCCCATTCTTCACATATTTTCATGTTTAATGTCTTAACAAGCCTTTACAAAGTATTATGTTCATTTTGTTTGTGCTATGATTGATTCTGCCATGTACTTCCAAGTCTTTTTAAAATGATATCGTATTAACTAGTTCCCAAAATCAAAATCCTTTACTCAGTTGCAGTTTAGATTGTACGAATGTTATTACAGCCAAGGAAGTAAAGCAATATCCTTGCATTCAATGCTTTCTCTGGTGTTACTGTATATAGAACTTAATAGGTAAGATACAGTAGCAGACATATGAAATAAACAGTATGAAATAGGTCCTTTGAGACCCAAGTACTGTGAGATGGAAATGAATGAATGTTAAAATTAGATAAAGATTTGATTCTTTAAAAGAAATCAAATTGCTGTTGCAAGCCTTTGACTTGTTATTTTCTTATATGGAATCAAATTTGATTGTACTTGATGGATGCATAGCAGAAATCTATAGCCTTGTATTCTTCTAAACTGTCCTTATATCCCAGGATCTGATCCCAGATTATCTGCTTATCCCAGATTATATAGCAGTGGAGACTCATATAATCCAGTTCAAAGCAGATAACCAGGGATCAGATCCTGGGATATAAGGACAGTGTAGAAGGGGCCCTAGTGGTACAAGGTCAAACAGTAGCTGCTATTAAATAGCCGTTAAAGCTCTTCCTTGAAATAGGAACAGAAGCAGTGGTCCGTAGTAGGATGATAAATCCACTGCAGGTTTTAGTGTGGACTTTAAAGTAGATATTTAAGATTCAAAACCTATTCACACTTTCATACTGAAAACCTGCTTAGTCCTGAATTAATTTGATAGACCCGGGTCTTCTGGAAAGACCCAGGTCCAGTGGAGTATGGACCATATAGGGACTGACATAAAAACTTATCGTGCTACCCCATAACTCTCTGGAGCGCTTTTGGGTGCGGGTCGGACAGCAACATGGGACAAAAACAGGTTACTTTAACTTGCTTTCTTCCACAATAAATTGCTGTCTGGAAGCAGCCATTACCACATGTGTAATGGTTTTCATCTGTGAAATGTTGGAGGGTATGTAGCACTAGACCAAAGTATTGCTTGTTTTAGAAAACATGGAAAACATAAAATGTCTTTTTTGATGGATTTGTGTGTCTCACCCACTCTTCCACAAATTTTTACTCTTTTCAAGCTTCTAGAGGTCTTACCGGAAATTCATATTGTGCTTTATTGACATTAGGTCATATCAGAAGTCTGACTGGTTGTCTTTAACTAGGAATATGATTGACAGAGATGGATATTATTATTATTTTCTTTTGTAATTTAAAAGACTTGTTCAAGTCTGTTTAAAGAATGAAATTATTTATTTCTCGCATTTCTATCTATAACAAGTGGATGCAGGTTTTGTTGTATATACCCCATTCATCTCTGAAGCTGAAAATGTGCAATGCATATGAATTTGTGTAAATAGTAGGAGTATGTTGCTTTTTAAAATAATTCAAAGGGAGAAGATAGGTTTTTCTAAAAGAAGCTAGTGACTGCCATTGATTCAATTATACTTATTCTGTAGGTATTCTACATATTATTAAAAACTATAAATTCTCTTGGCTATATGATAATGGCAAATGGTATCTGTCACCAGCTTTCATTTATTTTCAAGCAACTTTAACATCTACAAGCAATTGAACTTACTTAAGGTGTCAGTCTTGTCAGATTGTAGGTCATGAAAATCATATCAACTATTTTAAATAGGTCATATAGTTGGAGATGGCTTTTGTCAGCCTTGAATCAATAGTGAAACTTTCTCTATATTCTCAGTCAGAGCTTCTGACTAACTTATATCTGTTCTCTTCTCCTCTTGCAATCTTTGGTCCCAGTGGCTGCTACAAAGAGCAAAACTAAAGGTGAGTTTCTTCTTTCCTTCTTGATTTACACTGCATGGCTTTGCAGTACACATCCCACTTTGATTGCAGTTAATTATGCAGAGTAGATAAATTTGCATATATTCATAGCATTTGCATGCTTTGGCTGCAGAACTCAATACATGGTATTTTTCTTTATTTTTTTTCAAATTAAGCTATATCGTTTTTACTGTACTTTGCCCCTGAAATGAATTCTGTGAATTGCAGAATGAGAAATCTCATCTTCAAATATAAAATCTTCTGTTTGTAAGACATATCTGCTAGGTTAGTATAATTAGATTGCAAAGCAGAGCCTTAGTTCATGGCATGTATCTTATTTGTATTATCATGGAATTTCAGAGCTATTCAGGTTATTTAAAAAAAACCAATCAGACAGAGCTGTACTGTTCATTGAATGCTGATTTAAAAAAACAAAAACAAATCCAAAATAAATAAATATGTTTAGCTTCTGGGTAAAAATAATACAGTGCACAATAATAGAAAGAAAATGAAAGCCAATAAAGTTGGGTTTTTTTTACATTTTTTTAAACTTATGAACTTTAGCAAATTCAATAATTCCCAGAAATAATATGAAATAATCTTGAAATGTAGTGCACTTGTAGTAGTGAAATTTTTCAATACCATGTATGTATCTGCCTAGGAGTCTAAAACAGCAGCAGGTTGATGCTATGTGCGAGAAAGAAGGGGAAGAGAAGAATGAAGATAGAAAGAAGGAGGTCTTTGGGCATGAAAGGATGATAGCATAACAGACAGACAGTGTGACTGTGTTGGCAAGAACAGGTAGAAATGCCAATGCTAGGCAGAACCAGATCCATTATTACCATTAACTTTATTTATATAATAATAATAATAATAATAATAATAATAACTTTATTTTTATACTCCGCATCCATCTCCCCGAAGAGACTTGGGGTCACTTACATGGGTCCAAGCCCAATCAACAGAGTTGAAAATGTAACACATTAAAATGCATAATATCAATAAAACAACATAAAAACAACATTATAATAATATATAAAACAAGAACTATGTTTAAAAAATTCTACTTAGTCACAATATATTCTGGGTACTTTGGACCAAACTGGAGGGATAAAATGGAAAGGTAGGAGAGAGAATATGACCCTAATCTTCTTGAGTAAGAGGTAGAATAAAACATAAAAACACAAAACCATAATTTTCCTGCTAAAACTGCAAAGTAATTCAAAACCTATAACTAATAGAAATAGAAAGCTAATTCTTTGACAAAGTTCGCAGACTAGAATTATTTTTTCCATTCTCTGCATGAAAAAGCCATCTAGGCACAATCCCATTTGCTCACAGTAGCAATGATTGATGGTAAATATACTCTGTAATTTCATATCACCATCCATATGTTCTATCTATTTATCTATACAGACTCCCATTGGCTTATATTGTGCTTCTTGCATTGCTGCTGAGAGTATTATAAGTTTAACACCTTTTCATTTGGTAGATATTCTTTCTCTTCATGTGTTCCTCTAATAATCATTATTATTTCAACGTGTATCCATTCACCATTTAGCAGATTGTGTATCTGAGGGTACATGGAGTGATTTTACTCATTTTCAATTTAGATATTTTTCCTTTCAACTGTGCCTATCAATTTTTATAAAGATAGAAACTTTGCTCTTAGTGCCACCTTCCTGCTGATTTTTATAAGTAATAATAATAAAGCCATAGGCACCTCATCTTTGTTCCCAGTGGTACCCCACTGACCTCTTTTAGACTTTAAAAGCTTATTTCAACTGCTGTGCTTTTTATTCACATCACACTGTCGGTTTTACCCTACTGGGTCTCTTTCATCTCTGGGGTACTTTTTGCCCCCATGTTAGAATTAATTATTAAAATGTGTCAGATTGATATTCCAGACAGACAAAATAAGTAAAACCATGACATACTTCAGGAGTGGTTGATTGGCTCAGGACTTTTCCAATAGTAACTTTGCAGTATAAATCCAACTGAATAGAGACAGTACATTAACATTTCAACATTGTTTATTGCAATGTTTGCAAGACTTAATTAGTTACGAATGTAAGTAAAAGAAATAGGATGAAGCATACCACATGTTAAGTTTATATATTAGGAAACACAAGATCATAAAGTTCTTGATAGTTCAGAAAGTAATTTTTTAAATCCTTAGTGTTTGGGCAATGAGTCAAGTTGTATTGTTGTGGCCTTAATTCAAAGTTGCTTAAGTTACCTTTCCTATAATTTGGACCTTGGTTAGCTCTCCGGTATTTTCAGAAGCTATGGGCATATGTGCCATAGGCAAGCAACCTACATATTTAGCTAGGGAGTGTTTGCAACAGGGTCTGGAGTAGAAAGAATTAGGATGACTTTTGACATTTCAGCTCTGTTGGTACCACACACAGATATGCTCTTTGCTGGACAGGTGGTGTGCTATGCAGAAGCAGCAAGACTGACTGCTGATTCTCAAGTAGCACCCAGTGTTTCTCCTACCAAGGATAATAATAATAATAATAATAATAATAATAATAATAATAATAATACTTTATTTGTACCCCGCTACCATCTCCCCAAGGGACTCGGTGCGGCTTACATGAGGCCGAGCCCAGACATAACAATACAGGCAATAATCACAACAATACAATCAATTAAAATAAAACATAAACAATAAACATATATCTCTTCCTCTCTAAGTGGAGAGGAAATGGAGATACAGGAAACAGTCCTTCTCCTATCCCTCAACATCTGCGTTATTCTAGTTTGTCCATACCACTGTTATATGCCAGGGTGGTCCATTACACTGTGCAACATGACTTTTGTTCCTGGGTTATAAATGCCATTTCTTAATTGGATATATCATAAAAACATGGAAAAAGTTTATTCCTGTAGCACATTTTGTTATAGTTTTTCAATGATAATCTCCTTGAGTCTCAACAATTCAACATAGTTTGTGGTAGCCACAAAAACTAAGGTTTCTGGAGTATAAAAACTACTTTCAAAGTAAGTACTGCACTGTTAAACAGGAATAACATTTTCAAATCAGGAACAGAAAAAAAAAATCAAATTTTGTTACATAGTGTAATAGAACAATAATCAGTTATAACTTGATGGTAGACCATAATTTCAGATCAGATAGCATATATTTTGTGTTACTCTGAAGAGATAGAACAGGGATGCTGCTTGCTTACTATACATCCCATTGCCAGGCAATCTTCTTTGCAGATCTGGATGATTCAAGCTTAGAAGTTATGCTGGAGAACCACAGTCCAGTGGTGTTAGGAGACGTCAACATCTATCCCCGCAGCAGCTCTGGACATTTTGTCGGTCATGATAGCTATGGGATGCCTCTGTAATCTTTGTTTTAATACATATGGCATGTGGTCTTTGCAACTTGTTGGATGGAGGACTATCTGAATTTGCAACAACCCTACTCTCAGGTTTAGATGACTTCTTTGCAAAATTTGGTTTGTAAAGGTCTAAGGGATAGATAACCTTATGTTCCCATGGGGATTTATGGAATATGAAGAATTCCTAACTGAGATATTTTTTCTGTATGACAGAACTAGCAATTTGCTCCAAGCTTTGGTGGTGTTGTGGAATCTGAGATGGAACGGACCACCAACATAATCACTTCTGTGGGGACTTTGTTAATCAATGGCTTGAAGGGTTAAGAACTGGTGTTGTCTATAGACACCTCCAAGGTCATGTGGGCAGCATGACTGTATGGAGCACTATTACCTTCCCACAGAAACAGTACTCTTCATCTACTCACATTTGCATGTTTCAAACTACTAGGTTGGCAGAAGCTGGGTCTGACAGCAGGAGCTCACCCCACTCCCTGGATTTGAACCACCAACCTTTCAGTTGGCAAGTTCAGCAGCTCAGTGGTTTTACTCACTGTGCCACCAGGGCCCCCCAAACATACTGTTATATTTCCACTATGCTTCCTCAACATGTCAAAAGGTTAGGATTCTCTTGAAACCAATCTCAAGACAGATTAGCAATATAGCACCCAGATTCCAGCTGTGATACATTTCTCAGACAAATGGAACCACTTCAGATTCCCAAGAGATAAGGTGACATGTGCTTTGCAAGAGAATTAATTTCACTGGTGTGGGGCTATCTGGGAAAAAGCCCTGCAACTAATTACCATCCATTTTGTTGTCCTTAGCAGTGAGCAAGAGGGCAGGGACTGATGTTGAGTATAAATCCTATGTATGCGGCAGGGGGAAGTGGCGGAGGGACAAATTATTCCCAGGTTATTTTGGGATTTTAAGGTCAGGGCTAGCTTTTTTAATTTGAGTTAACCAATGATTAAGTAACCAATGTAATTGTTATAGGATCATTAAACTGCCCCATCCTCATAAACATTCTGCTAGATAAATTTTGTCCCAGCTGAAGAGTCCACACTATTTTTATTTTGTAATTCCTTGGGTGTCTCTAAACTGTAGACATTTATGTACTTTTTTCTTTAATAAGAAATAAGATTTTGAAGTTTTTTCTCTTCCTTTTAAAATCTCTTTGTTCCTGCAAAGGCAATTGAACATGTTCTTTATCATTTGTCTCCTGTGTCGATATGGAGGCTGCTACTATCTTTTGAGATGGTCACAGTTCTTTATTTGAGTGAACCATATTTTTCATATTTGATGCTCTGTTGAAAGAAGAAAGAATGAATAGCAGGAGACTAAGAAGTATGGAAAATTACAAATAATGTGATTAAAGAAAAGAAGGTGCTTGTTTGCAACTTGGAAAGTACAAGCAAGCAAGATATGTAGGCTCTTCAACATAAAGGTATAAATGAAAGACATATTGTACCCAGATTACAAATGTGTGGGTGTATGAGAAGAGCTTGAAAGAAGTAATAATTAGCAGTAAGCTGCTATAGAACTTAGCTGTCACTCAAAATCTTAACAAAATGGATATTCACTTTCTTCTATCTTCCTTTTATTTATTTATTTGTTCACTCTTCCATCCACATTCTTACATTTAAAATCTTA